CTCCTGGGTCAACATAGCCAGGCCAAAATAGTGCTGTGGAGGAGCTGGTTGGTGTCTAGGTCCAAGCCTCTGTGTGAGTTACTAATGCCAACAAAGCATCAATTTTCCAAGTGCCAAACAAGCCGCTGTTGCTCTGTTTAATTTAGAGAAGTAAAAGACCAAAAAAAATGAAGGAAAAAGTAAGCAAGAATTACAACTTTACAGGCTGGGTACAGACACACCCCCACCCCCCTCCACCTCACCACCACCACCACCCCAACAAGGCTTGGCGTGTATCATGTCTCCTGTTCAGCCCAAAAGCACAGAAAAACAGGCCAGGGTGATAAAGCAGCGGGTGGGGAATGCTGTTAGAGGAAAGCTGGTATCTCCCAAAAGGTCACGCTTGAAGAAGAACATAGGAAGGCTGATAAACTTTGGCAATTTTGCTGTAAAAACAAAGTAAAGCAAACCAAAGAGATCCTGAGGAGCAATTTCAGAAAGGTTTAAATCTGGCAATAAACTATCTTTCACAATATCCAGAGCAAAAAGACGCCCAGAATAACAATTGCAGAAAGCCAAAATCCTATCTTTTCATCCATGTGCACGATGGGGAAGTTGGGGAAACTTGCTGGGGGATCTGCCTAAAATGGCAGTGCTGGTAGCAGGAGATGGGCAATAAATAGCCAGACAGAGCAGCATGGCATTGCCAGGCCAGGCTTGCTGTGAGCATGAGTGGAGGACAGGCAGCAAGGCTGCTCATGGGACACCAGCCTCTCCTAAAAGCTCTCTGGGCAGGGAGTTACAGGCCTGTAAACCCAAATCAGAACCACAGAAATTAGTGGAAACTGTAATAAATAGCAGAATTTGTGGTTATGTGGTCCCAGAGGAAGAGGCAGCATGAGTTTGTAGTGGGAGGGTCTCTGAGGTGGCTGCAGTGAGGATGCTGTGGATGACCCAGTTGACACTGTCTGCTTGGGTTCCTGGAGAAAACTGGGACAATTTCCTTTCAAAGGCTCTTTGGGAGCAAGTCTGCACCCAGGGGGTGGCAGAGCAGGTCTCTGAATGGGTAAATAAATGACTAAAATGAAGAGAGCAAGAATAGGAGTTAATTTGTGGTCCTTGTCATGTGGGGAAGTCCCCACTGGCATGGGGTATGTGTGTGCGTGTGTGTATGCTCTGCAGGGACCTGTGCCCCGGGTTGTGGTTACAAACAGCTGAACAAGTGGCCATGCCAGCTGCTGTCCCCAGGATGACTGCAGAGATGGGTGGAT